CATATGACATCTGGTGCTCAGATGAAGTTCCGAGAACTTCTTGTTCAAATGTGAAAGAGCTTCTTTCATTCCAAGTGTGTGTGTGTGTGTGTGTATGTGTACAGAAATTCTGCAAGTGCATGCATGTGTACACTTTGTGCATGTATGTGTACACTGTGCGCACATATGTGCACACTGCATGTGTACATGCGCAACATGTGTGCACTCTGCATGTGCACATTCATATGTTTACTCTGTGTAAACATGTGTGCATGTGTGTACAGTGCTGTGTGCATGCAGTGTACACTCTGCAGGTGTGCATGCACAATGTGTGCAGACACTGTGCATGTGTGCACACATGTGTACACTACACATGTACATGTACAATGTGTGCAGACACTGTGGTGTGTGCATGCATGTGTACACTGTGCATGTATGTGTACAGACACTGTATGTTCATGCATGTGCACTCTGTGCATGTACAATATGTGTGCAGATGCTCTGTATGTGTGTGTACAGACACTCTGATCTTTATAATGGTTTCAGACATCCTTTATGTGAACTGAGGAAAATGGAACAATTAAGTGGCACAGCTTTGAAAAACTGAAGTGCTTGGGGGGGCACCGAGGGATAGGAGACAGGAGAGCAGAGGGCAGTGGGCAGAGTGGGGAGAGGCATCCTGGAGTAGGGACCTGGGAGGAAAGGAGATCACGGCGCTAATATTCAGACTCCATAAAATTAGATCCACATTAATCTTGGGAGTTACAGGCTCATTAGTTGTGGGGCTAAACTTAATAGCCTCAGCCTTTCCCCAGGATGCCTGACATCATTATTAAGAATGGTGCACCCGCTCCCAGCACGCGGAAGCCCGGGATGGCGTTTCACATCCGATGGAAAAGCCTAGGCTCTCGGGTTTCCTGTCTGAATTAGCAAATAGGAAAAAAATATGGCATCGCAGAGTTCTCATGTTGTTAATAATGCCAGTCCTGTCTATTGAAGCACCTACTACCAATATTTTGGGAAAATAAAGGGCCAAACTGCAACGCTGGGCCTTAGGCCGGCAGTTGGAGACGGTGGACGTTGCAGGCCTCCAGCAGGCACCACGAGCTCCCCGCAAGCTCAGCAGTTTCTGAGGAAGACGACTTCCTCTGACAGGACAGCTGCCTTTTAACAGCATTGTGAAAATAGGGGCTACATCTCCAGGTGTGGAAGGGACCAGGGCCCAGAACTAAAGGGATGTTTCTAGCAAAGGCTCATTATTTGCAATCTGTTTACAGTGCCAGTTTAATGGTGTTAATAGTAGGTAAGTCACTTAATTTCCGCAGAAGCCAGCGTTTGTGGGAAGATGACATTAAGACAAGTGAGGAGCACAAGCAGGAGGCTGCGCCCCCTTACTCTGCCTCCCTAACCCAAGCACTGCCCGAAAGTACCACTTCTGTAGTTAGAGACCCTCCCCATGCCCCTTGCCCCTCTCCCTGATGGAAACGTGGCTTCTGCATTTGCTGCGCCCTGGTTTTCACGTCAGAGCCGTTCCACACCTGCAGGACATGGAGATGTGAAGCTACTTGCGTAACACCAGCACAGCTTGAAAGTGGGAATGTAAGACCAAAGCTTCCAACCAGCTTGTCATCTGATTCAGTTTAGTGGAAAAATATGTCTGTTGAATATACATGATGTCAGAAGCCTCGTGCTAGATGCCTCCATGACATCTGCACTCCTCTCTTGTTGCTCGTGTCAAAGTTGTAGTTGGCTCTGTGCAGCTCTATTAGATTTTGAGCTCCTTCCAGCTGTGGGCCGTGCCCTGCTTTTTGTGCCCACAGAGCAGTAGAGGTAAATAAGGGCAAAGGAGACACGGTCCTTGTCTGCATTTGTTCATCATCTAGCAGGGTTTATTTAAGTCAACTTACAGTCAGACTGTGGCAATGGCATCTATCCATCCACTCATCTATCTCTCCATCCGTCCATCCATCCATCCATCCATCCATCCACCTAATATTTATTGGGCATCTGTTATATGCCAGGCACAGTGAGGGGTAGTTGTGATTCAAAGGCAAATAAGAAAGAGTCTTTAATGTCAAGGGCTTCCTAGTTTATAGAGGGAGACAGACATAGAAAGAGTTGAATTATGAGGCCGAGTGGTATTCCACTTCCAGAAGATGTCCAGAGTAGTCAAATTCATAAGGAAAGTAGAACGGTGGCTGTGAGGGGCTGGGGAAGGGGAAATGGGGACTTGCTGTTCAACGGCCTTCATTGGGGTCCTTTCCCACGGTGTGCATGCCAAGGCCCCCAGGGCCGGGCCTCAGGGTTCATCTCAGAGCCCTCCCCATCACCTGACCTGCTGGGCAGGGCACTGCTGTTACTGCTGGGAGACTATACGTTCTGGGTGCTCCTTCTAAATTGCTTGACCGTAGCCATCAGGCCACCAGCTCTCTGACAGCAAGGGCAGAGAGCTTCATCTGCTGGGGAGAAGGGAGCCCTGAGAGTTTGGCGGGCCTGCGAAGTGTGGCACAGTCTCTATAAGACCCCTAGCTCTCCTCGGTCCTGTTCTCTGCCGCTCTTCCTGCCTCTACTCAGAAGCATTCCTCTACCGTTGCCCAGGGTCCTGTACTCAGACGGGCCTCACCCTTGGCTTAATGCTCTGCTGCTGCTATCCTGAACTTCTTAGTAATTTTTATTTTAACAAAAGAAGCCCTATGTTTCATTTTGCACTCTCTGCAGCTAAGTACGTGGCCTGTCTTGACCCAGCGGCAATGAAATGCTGATCTGTTGACCGCCCTGTCAGCAGCTCCTGGGCTTGCTCTAGTTTCTCCACGTGCCACTGAAAGGCATGTAGTCTCCAAACTGGAGGTGCAACCGAACAGTTGCAAGAATGTTGGGGTGTCATGGAAAGAGCCCTGGATTGGGAGTCTGCAGACCTGATTCTGGCTCTGTCATTAGCTAGTTGTACGACTAGGTGGCTCTCTGGGATTCATTCCTCCCAGCTCTCAAAGCCCTCAGAGCCACATCTGTGAGCAGTGCAACTAGTGCACCAGCATGAGCGTCCATCAACTATTTATTTAGTGCCTGTTCAGTGCAAGGGTCCAGGTGCTCAGAGATTCACTCCCAACTGCACACGGCTGTCGTCTTCCACCCGGACCTGCCCATCATTTTTCAGGATATTGCCCTTTGCTTTCTGGACTTCCTTACTTATCTGAAACCCAAGTTAGTAACTTGTTCACTGCCACATAAGAAATCTCTCATAAAGGAAGCGCGGTGCATTTCCAACATTCTGGGTCGCTGGGGCCAGATGTGCAGATAACAGCGCCTGCCTTTATTGAATGTGTACCGAGTGCCAGGCTCCGTGCTGGGCCCTTTATTTGTATACTCGTTTAGTCCCTTAAAGTGGATTGGTAGTGCTCTTATCCCTGTTTTTCAGATAAAGAAACCAGGGTTTAGAGGGGTTAAGCGGTTACTAAGGGGTCCGACTCCAAAAGCACACACTCTTGACAGTTCCACCAGACCAACAGCAGTAACACGGAGCTGTTGTTTCTGCTTCTTCACCGAGAATGGTGCACAAAGTCTAGTTTCTTCAATCCCAAGGTCAGATGGCGGGGGAGGGTGGAGAAGTGAGGGAAAGACGCACAGGGAGGATTTTGCAGGGGCTGGGAGCGCACTGCCAGCGCACTGCCAGCGCACTCTGGAGCACTGAAAGCATTGCAGAACCCCCACCCGAGCCACCCTGGGGTCCATGGGCTTGACCTATGTCCCTAGCCAACACAACCAGCTCCCTCTGCCTCCACCTCCCCACTCAGGCGAAACTGCGAAAGCTGGGAGGGGAGGCTGAGCTTTGAGGAGGCAGGTACATACCATACCCTTCCGCTGCTTCCCACCTCCTCCAGACGCACGTGTTTAAAAAGTCCCTGATCCTTCCCATGTCACCTGGCCCCACTAAAGCTTGGCCTCCTTGCGCTGCTGCCCTCAAGTTTTCTCCGAGAGGTGGGCGCGCACAGCTGCAGCGGCGACGGCGACCAAGCGCCCAGCGGCACTCGGCCACCCACCTTTCCCAGCCCCCGCCGCCGCAGTCTCCGCCCGCCGGGGAGGGCGTGCTCGGCGGCGCGGAGCCGAGGGTGGGGCGCGGAGAGGGAGGGGACCCCGGGCGAGCAGCTTCTGTGCTCTCAGCGGCAGAGGCGGCGGCTGCAGCAGGTGGAACGCGCTCCGCGGCGAGCAGCTGTTGGCCTTGAAACCCGGCACTGTAGCCGCTGGGACGGGAGAAGGCCTGCGGGGCTGGAGCCCGTGGCACCCCTCCCTCCAATCCGGGTCCGATCCCTAGTTTCGGGGAACTTGGGTGACCGAGGCCGGCGGGCCGGAGCCGCAGCTGGGGTCGGGCGCGCCTACGGGCGCACAGCTGCCCTGGAAGCCGCGTTCCGACCGCAGGTCCAGGGGGACCTGGCTCTTCCCAGCTACCTGAAGAGGTGCTCTCCCGGGAAAGCCGCCGCGGGCCCTGGGATTTGGGAGGCGCTCGGAGAGCGCCCTGACACCTCGCTGGACGCTGTCCGATTGTGCCTCGGTGGCGCGGGAGGGTCCTGAGCGGCGCGCTCGCCTGCCCTCTTCGGCGACGTAGGAGCGGAAAGCAGGGGGCTCTTCCTGGGATTCCGGGGCACTGGAGCTGCTCACTCCGTCCTCGGCGGAGCCCTCAGGCCCCTCACTGTGCTTGGCTGGAGAGGTTCGCTGGTTGGCACCAATCTGCAGGAGTTCTCTACTGATCTGATTTCTTCTTCAATTTGGAAACGGTTCCCTCCAACGACGCTCGACACATCTTTCCCTGTCTGTGCGGAGCCTGTGGAATCCTGTTCCTCTTCACTGACCCTCGAGTTTCATCCCTCGTGGCGTGCTGCCTCCCAGACCTGGCTCGAGGGGAAGGTGCAGGCGTGGCTCCTTTCTGTCCCCCTTTGGAGGGAGCGCGGTCCTTGAGGGGGACGTTGGAATTCTAGGGACTCCTCCGTGCGTGGCGGGACTGGGGTGCGGGCGGCCCGCTGCTGGCCATGGCCTTCACTTTCGCGGCTTTCTGCTACATGCTCTCCCTGGTGCTGTGCGCTGCGCTCATCTTCTTCGCCATCTGGCACGTGAGTAACCGGCAGCGGCTTCTAACTCTTCGTTCGCCCCAAATGCACTCCCGACCACCTCCTTCCCCGATTTTTCTAAAATGCCATCTCACTGTCTCCACATTGCGAGTGTGGGCGGACTGGGAGGCCAGCCGCGGCGCATCCGTAGGTTAGACCCTTTGTCACTCCCTGTCCCGAGGCGGGAACCGTTTGTGGCATACGAGACCGGGGGGCGCCCGGCGCGTTCTCGATGACCTGGCCACTGGTGGAGCCGGCGGATCGCTGGTTTCCCAGGAACGCACCCTTGCCAGGGCCTGGCCAACGTCCGCCAGGGAGTGGCGGTGACAAGCCCCGAACCCCGCTACTTCCCCTGCCCCCTCCTCCCTTGCCCGAGGGAGAAGCACAGCGGTGGGGCCCAGCAATTAGTCAAGTAACTATAACAACTAAACATTTAAAATGTCAGCATCTGTGGTGGGCTGCGTTTAGACATAATTGGAGACAAAGTGGAAAGACTAAGGGGAGTGTAAGAGGAAGTAGAGAGAGGCTGGGCCGGGGAGGGGAGGGGCCGCTGTGTTGTGGGGGTTGAGGGGGAAGGGGCAGAGCGAAGCAGGAGGCGAGGGAGCCGGGAGAGGGACAGGCATGAAGGAGAGGCTGTTGGAAAGTCACGCAGAGAGACGCCAGAGGAGCAAGTTGCCTCCTTGGCTGCCCTGGGGCCCCGAGCCATCCTTCTCCTGAAGGCCACCTGCAGATGGCAGAGCACCTGCATATCTGCGGAGCACCAGCTTTCCTACTACCCTTCCAGGGGGCTCCCAGGTGGAGGGTGGCCGTGGTGGGTCCCAGCAATGCAGGTGCGCTGTGGGAATGGGAGATGGGCTGCAGAGAACGGCCCGAGGTGCGTCGTCCTCTGATCAAGACGGTGCCACATCGGGCAGGCCCGCCCGACTCTCAGGCCGCTCTCCTCCCCGGCTGATTAGCTCTCTGTCCTCGCCGTCAGAGAGCTGGTGGCCCAGTGGCTACGGTCAAGTGATTAGAGGGAGCACCCACAGTGTATAGTCTCCCACCATAAACAGCAGTGCCCTGCCCGGCAAGTCCGGGTGACAGTAGATGAATTCTGAGGCTCGGTTCTGGGGGGCCTTGGCACACTCCGGTGAGAGGAGACCCGGAATGAAGACTAGAAGAAGTTGCAGGGTAGGTGAGATGTGGCGTTTAGTAGAAGTGGTTTCTAGAATGAGAGTGTTTATCTTGCACTAGAACTAAGCAGCTAGAGCATCACCTATTACAAGGAGGAGAGGGAACCCCAGGGAGGAGGAAGGCTTCTGACCAATGTCACCTTAGGAACGGGACTCACGTGTCACCTTCCACATCTCACAAGTGCGAAAGTGGACCCCGATGATCTCCAAGCTTCCCCTCATGTCTAAGGCAGTGTAAGTGGGTGGGTCAGATGATTTTGGAATCTGAGGGTGAGAAGTACTAGGATTATGCACCCTCTCCCTCTGCCCCAGAATTCTGGGTCTAATCTATGGTAGAGAATTGAGCCTTGCAGTTGTTCACGATTGTTACAGAAAGAGGAAACTTTACTTAATTTAGAATAAAAAGGGGTGCGGAAGAGACCATGCCTGAGCATCACGGCAGACCCTTGTGCGTGTGTTTTAAACGAGCTTCCTCTGCTTCTCTGGTTTGGGGAAGTTCTCTACAGTCTAGAGGGCGAGCTACAGCACTCCCTTTTTCCAGAATAACTTCATTTGCTGTTCCTCTGTGTGTTTGCCCTGGCCAGAGTGTGGCAGGCACCAGAGAGCTCCGTCAGGCTGGCAGGCGTGGAGTCCTCTGACCCAGCCCCTGAAGCAGAATCTAGCCTGCAAGAATCCTTTCCTCCCACTCAAGGGTAGACGATAAAGAATTCAAGAGTGGGTTGATTAAATGGACAGTTTGTGCCACTGGTTGACTAATAGACATTTGAGTATAAACCAGGTGTGGCTGTGACTCCACATTGGCCCCTGCTCTCCAGGTCTCCAACATTCACCCCCTTTTCCGGGGCGGCTGAGTGGTTGGAATCCAACTCTGGGGCAGGTCCTGATACCCAGTGGTAATGGCAGGGTTCCAGTTTCAAAGAATAAAAAGAATCTGTGCTCTTTGAATTCAAATTACAGTAACACTTCCCAAGTCTCAGCTCTGCTTCCTTTCTGAGCCTTTTCTGTCTCCCTCTCCAAATCAAATAACCTGAAGCCCCGCTACATTGATTTGGTTCCTGACTATTGAGAGGGGAAATCTGAGACTCATTGATTTCAGTGCACACAGAGTATGTGTAGGCATTGCTTATCTGGTGGAAAAAATTCCAACCAAAATTTAGGAGAGTGAGCTCTATATTAGACTATGTGTTTGCTTTCTTTCCAGCTTCCTGTATTCCATGTATATTTCTTGATCTGATGAGCCATATTGATTGCTTAGCATATACTGACTTCCCAAATAAGGAATTGGGCACTTAATAATATACAGCAATTAAAAGGCCTGCCCTATAGCCATGTCCAGGCTGTAAGATATGAAGATGACACGTTTTTCTTATTAATTCTACATTCTTACTTAGGGGTAATAATAGTAGCTACTATTTATTGAGTGTCTGGAGTAGGCTGGTTCCAGGCACTCGATGGGCCTCGCAGGCGGCCCTCCACTGTTTGCCTCCCGCCTTCCCGCGGGAGGTTGGGGAGCAAGCCTGGATGTGGCCAGCCACAGGCACAATGCTTTTTTCAAATCGTGTTTTTTACCTTGAAAATTTATCTGCGTTTATTTCCAAATGAAAATATTTCATATCAGCAATTCATTTATTTTTATATCAGCCACTATCTTTGAGTGACATTTGATACATTTGGAAGATGCAGAATCAAAGTGTGTGTGTGTGTGTATGTGGCTTTGCAAACTGTCAGACACAGAGGTCCTGCCCAGGCAGTCCCTTAGTCCTCACAGCTGACCTTTTACAAATGAGGAAACTGGATCAGAGAGGTTATGAAACTTGCCCAAGTTTGCATAGCTGGTGTGTGTTGGGCCTGCGATTTGTGTCCATGTCCTTTTTCTAATGCTAGTGACTGACATTGGGTCATTTAACTTTGATAATAGTGGATAATGTTTCTATTCAAAGGACAGAAACCTTTGTATAAATAAAATATTTAGAGTTGGAATTTCTGTTCAGAGTGATAACAACAACAAGATACTAAAATACACCATACATCCTTTTTTAAAAGAGGAAATTCTATTTCATTTTATCAAAATTATGTTTTCTACTTATAAAATGATACAGGTTCATCGCTGAAAATTTTGAAAACACATGGACATATAATGGAACAAAATCTCCACTAATCTTATCATTCAGAAAAGATTTCGGTATCTTTTCTTCCAGTCATTGTGTATGTGTGTATTTCTGAAAATTGCATATGGATGTTTAGAAGGGAAAAAAAATGTCCAAATGGGTTTCAGGTATGAAGTGATGTCTGTTTCCAGCCAGTATAAAATGAACAGCGTTTACCACAAGAGCCGGTTCAGCTCCAGCTTGGTTGAGCCTGTTTGCAGATTGTCTTATTTATATAAACACAGATGAAACCATCCTTTGAAAAGATCAAGGATTCAATACCAATTACTTCAGGGTTTTAACTTTTAAAGTTTTGTTGTTGTTTTTTTTAATACGTAGAGTCATGTTTTAAAACTCCAAGTTTTCACAACATACAAATAAAATAAATTCCCAACAATATTTCTTTGGGCTCACAGCGGTATTTTTTATCAGAGAGTTTTCGTGGGTCCTGACTGATGCTAACAAATACGTATTAACTAAGAGGCAGCTTTGCTCGGCGACCTGTCTCTATAGCTGAGCCTTTCAGCCAGTTTCCTCTCTGTCACAGATTCAGCCACTGGAAACCAAGTGAACGGCTCAGTTTCTCAAGTTATCCATATGGAAACAAACAAACAAACAAAGGGGGTTTGTGAAATGATAGGATACCTGGGATTGACAGTAGCGTCTCTTTTTAAGATCCCCCTTTGCCCGTGCCTCACTTGACCTGCACTTCTTGTTCTGTCTGAGATTCCCCACGCTTCGCCGCAGCACGCTTGCAGATGTGACCTTTGCCCTTCCAGCCTCCCCTCTGCCCATCTTCCCTTGTCCTCCCACCTGTCCAGGGCCTCACAGCTGTGGTCCAGGGAGCCCCACGAGGGCGTCTGTGACCTTTCCTGCTTCACCGCCATTTCTACGGAGCCCAGAACAGTGCCCGGCACGTGGAATAATGAACAGTGCCCGGCACGTAGAGTAATTCTTGGCTCCTTCTGGCTCAGCACACTTCTGGCTGACATGGCTTTTGGCTGCTTCTCAGGGCCTGCTCCCTGGGCAGTTTGGGTGCACCCTGCCACTTTGGAGCCTTGGGAACTGGAGTCGTCACCAAAGATGGCTGGCCCTCGCCACAGGGCGCGGGGGGCATCTCCATGACGGCGGAGCTGGGCTCGCGCAGAGGTGCAGCCCGCGGAGCAGTGCCGGCTGCCCCTGGGGAAAATGCCTTCGCTGTGGTGTGACGTCTGTGCCCTCTGGGCCACCGCAGCCTGGCTGGCATCGAGGTGCTGGCTGGTGATTTCCCAATCCTCCCCGGAAGAGAAGGCTTGCATCCGAATTGGATTCCAACCATGGGCAGGTGGGGAGAGGGGAGAGAAGGGGCAGAACTCGGAGAGGACTGAAAACCAGCCAGCACTGGCCCTGCTCCAGCCGCTTGGCAAGACTTCGAGGCCTCTGTGAGGCTGGATGCCGTAGGGGGCAGCACCACTTGACCATAGAGTTGCTGAACAAGCGTCGAAGGCAGGGGAGGCCGTTGCCGGGAAGTTGGAGCATCCACCTCCACTGGTCCTGCAGCTACGCCCTGGCAGAGCACCCTCCTGAATTTCGAGGCCCGGTGACCTCACTTGCCTTGTTCCAGTGCCTCGGGGTGCGTGGCCCGGTCTCCCCCTTACATCGCATGGCTCTGTGCCGTCACTTCTGGATGCATGTCCTGCTGCCC